AGTTCGAATCTACAACATGTGTAAAAAGCCAGGCATGGCTGCCCATGCACATAACCCTGGCATTATGAGGTGGACACAGGACGATCCTGAGAGCTTACTGGGCAGCCTGCAACGGAAGTTTTAGTTTCTTTGTAAACTCAGTTATGTTATGTAGGTATGTTTTTGTTTTAATCCCAAGTGCGGGATTTTACTTGGGCTATGGTTTGTCCACACCTGTTAATTATCTCGTGCAGGGCGTGGCTTTTGCCATCTGGTTAACAGCCTTTCACCTGTGGCACAGAGAGGGGTGTGGTCTAGGATTCTGAGGATATAAACTGAGAGCCCAGAACAAAAAAGGATGGCATGAAAGACCGAAGAGACAGACAGAAACACTTCAGGGTTGAGAGGTTGGAAGGAAGGTTGAGGCCTAAACACCCCAAATAAAGTAGATTTTAAAAGCAGGCTCCACACCATCCAGTTTAGCCCAAATGGTGAGCTTCCAATTCGGTGAGAGACCCTGTCTTAGGGTAATGAGGAGAGCAATAGAGGAAGGCACCAGATATTCCCCCTTTGGTCTCTGTGCACATGTGTGCAGCACACACATGTCAACAAAATAACTATGCTAAACAAAAATAACACTTTCATGAAGATATTATAAAAATCCCAATAAAGACTAGTTTCTGCCTTGTGTATACATTCAATAAGATGTCAATAAAATCCCCCAAACATCCATAGGTAGTTAAAATAATTTTGAAAAATAAAAATAAAAAGGGCAGTATCTTTTTTTTTCAAGTGAACATTATTTATTTTAATTTTTTATATTAATCACAAGTTATTTACTTTGTATCCCAGCTGTAGCCTCCTCCCTCATTCCCTCCCAATCCCACCCTCCCTCGTCTTCTCCCTGCCCCTTTCCAAGTCCACTAACAGGGGAGGACGTCCTCCCCCTCCATCTGACCCTAGCTTATCAAGTCTCCTCAGGACTGGCTGCAATGTCCTCTTCTGTGGCCTAGCCAGGCTGCTCTTCCCTCGTGGGAGGGGAGTGGAAGAGCTCGCTATTGAGTCCATGTCAGAAATAGTCCAAAAGGGCAGTATCTGGCTGGTATTTCAAACTCCTAGAATAATTTCTCTAGAAGTGTGGTTTTTATCGTAGAAACATAATAGAAGAGACTACAGAAAGAGACCCACATCTACACAGAGACCTGTTACCTGATGACAGTGGTAGAAAGGTTCTTGACCAGAACAGACTTTTCAACAGTATACGAGACAGCTGAAAATACTGGAGGAAGTACGGCACAAGCAGCTTCCTGCCTTATGTATGTTAGTATACCATATTCCTATTCCTTGGGTACAAAAATAAGTCCCACCCCATTTAATTGACTGGCATTCCTTGTTAAATAACCCTGAAATCACAAAGCTAGCTCAGGAAATATTGGCCCTTGCAGAAGAGCCAGGTTTGCTTTCCCACACCCATGTGGCAGCTCACAAGCATCTGTAACTCCAGTTCCAGTGGGTCTGTTGCCCTTCTCTGGCCCCTGTGGACACCAAACACACGCCTGGTGCAGGGACACAGACTTGGGCAAAACGCCCATACTCATAAAATAAAAATGACTTAAAAAATACAGATTCTTAAGGCCCACCCCAACTCTACCAAATTAGAACCTACCCTTTAAACAAGATCCTATGTGTTCCGCAGAATGGTCCCTCACCAACCCCCCAGAAAGCTCTTTAAATTTAAATAGACAATAGCTTAGTGGTGGCAACATTTAGTGCCTGCCTTTACTTGGGGCATCCTCATCCCAGGCTGTCCATTCATCTAGAGATATAATTCCAACCCCTATGATAAAACAGATACACTCTGAGCTCACCTGGTCTACAATTTCCATTCTCTTACCCCACTCCAGGCACAAGCGTGGATCCTAGATGACTACACATCAGGGCTTCTGCATCTTCTACACTGCTGAGAGCACACTCAGGCCTTTGTAATTCTAATAAGCGTGGCGCTCCGGTTCCCTGCCCATTAAAGACCGGAAGTGGCAAATCTGAAGTGGGGCAAAGGGAGAGGAGTGAAAACTGGGGCTGGCGATCCTAGAGGTGGCAAAACACCCATACTCATAAAATACAGGTGACTCTAAAAGAAAGTACAGATTCTTAAGGCCCGCCCCATTTCACAAGTGTCTTTTAAACAAACAGAAAGACTGACAGAGTCTCCTTAAGCCCCAGTCTCGCTGGTTGTGATCAGCTTCTCAACCTTCTCAACCTGTGGTCCCAACCCCCTTGCGTCAATTTGTAAGAATAAAATGACATCGTGCATATCAGGTATTCCCATTACAGAATCACAACAGTGGCAAAATCACAGTTAGGAAGTAGAGACGACATTTTACGGTTGGGGGGGTCACCGCCCCTACCCTCTACTCCACCCTACCCCCGGGAATCAGCTGGGGTTCTTGTTCCAGTGCAGTCTGACTCCTGAGCTCCTGGGCGATGCTCTTCGGTTAGCCGGGAGAGACACGCTTGCAGTCCAGAGGCTCTAGAACAGGTCACTTTTGATCACTTACTGCTACTTGGAACCCAGACAAGGAGGACGGCTTCTTCACCGCTGACCAGAGCGGTCCACAGAATGGCTGGTGCGGAAACTTCGCGCTCAAAACTATAGGGGTTTTTTTGTTTGTTTGTTTTTGGTTTTTTTTTTTTTTTGAGCTGAGGTTCGGGGTTTCGCTCAACCACTCCATTCTCCCGTGAAGGGACCTTATTGGAGGATCAGTGACACCTGAGCATGGGCTTAGAACACAGCTTGCGCTACCCTTTCCTTGCAGATTGGAGGGCTCAGGCCAAGCTGGGAAAGGACTGATCAAGTTTACAGGTGATAGCAGTCAAGTGGAAATGAGAGCTGAGGCAGGACACAGAGGCATCAGCTCAGGGGCCTTTCAGGATGACTGCTTTGTCAATTACTGCGAGCTTATCCAGTGGGAACTCTCCAAAGATTCAAAGGGGAGAAGAAAATTCTAAAGCCCTCACTTACAGGCCCAGTGCCCTCAGACTCAGAAGATAACAAGCCCCCCACCTACCCCGAACCTCCTGCTTGAGTCCACACAATAGCTATTGTTTTCCCAGCCCTGGGTTGTGGAATTTACATGAGAAAAGTATCAAAGCTGCCATTTGCCCCATCCCAGTTTCATTTTTCTTATTCTGGAACCCTTATGAAACACCACGAAAGAATGGTGTCTACTCTTGCTCAATATTAAAAAGCCCTTGTGTAAGCTTACAGAAATATTTCAAAGTGAGGAGAGAGGGAATCGTATTCCTAGAGCCCTTGCCTAGCAAATGGATAATGCATTTTCAAGACCACATAGGAAAACAGAGTGTAGGGGGGGAATCACCAAATTCAGTGACATTGTGGCTCCTGGGGCCACGGATGTGCTTGGAATGGGCCACCCTGGCTCCTGGGGGAACTCTTCCCCATTTGCCACAAAAGCTGTGCCCGGCAGCACAATTTAAACTGGTCTTGTGGGCCAGTTTAGATGGCACAGTGGGTGAAGGTGTTTGCCACCAAGCCTAGGACAAGCTGGGTTCAGCCCCAGGGACCTACCTGAGAGAAAAGGATGAGTGACTCCACAGTGTTGTGCTCCAACCCATGACCCCAAATAAAAACACAACAATGGATTAAAAAAACAAGCAACTGTCTTATTACTCCCAAGTCTGCATGCCCTCACCCAGAACTTCCCCCGCCAAGCTGATTCCAAAAGTCTTTCTCTTTCTCTGCAGCTATCTGGGTCTGAAGACAAAGAGCCCGTCTAAAGGGAAATCAGCCTGAAAGCCTCCATTTGGAATGCAAAATGTTAAGACCACTAAGAGCTGCTCTGATTTGCTGGGCTCAGGTCTTGTCCTTGTTGCTTTTCCTGGTTAATCTGAACGCACACGGCAAACCTCAGGCCAGCTTGGCATATCTGGGGAATTTGACCAGATTTCCACACCTGATCACTCATTGACCTTCCAAAGACCACAAATGGCTTGCTCAGTGCGTCCTCTGACTGAGGGGAAAGAACTAAAGGGTGGGGCTCAGAACTGCCGGCTGAAGGGCTAGTTGAGCAACAGGCCTGGGGCTGTTTTCACATGTTTTTCATTAATTCCTTAATTGCCTTAATGGACATGTGTTACTGTAAAATAAAGGGAAGTTGTTTTTCCTTATTTGTTTACAATGAGACAGTTTTGATTGAGCAATTCAGAGACTTTCCAAAGCCATTGCTCTTCCTGTAAAGGAAGGGTTTCTTTTTTAGCATGGGTCAGGAATGATGTGTTAATAAAGTCGGAGCGAAAAGACAGAAACCCATTTCGAAAGAGCTATTAGAAGACCACAACCTAATCAGAGCCATGGAAAAAGTCATGTGGGGAAAAGGGACAGGACTGAACTTTGCAAAGGAAATTGCCTCTGACACCCAAAAGGACAGACTGAAGGTGACAGAGAGAACACGGGAGGGTCCAGGCGTGAGCCAGGCTTCCCAGGTTTCTGACCCTAGAAGATGTGTAGATAGACTTCACTCTGGGTGGCCTGCAACAGGGGTGTGGCCCGAGTGGTATGTGTGGCCAGCCATTCACATAGTAGCTGACCTGGACCTCGGGATCTCACCATACAGGAAGCAGAGGGCACGTCTCCTAAGACAGGAACTGTATACCTTTGTGGAGAGGGGCAAGCCTAGGGCCTTGAAGAGGCCCTAGGTCTTTTGCGGTCAGGTCCACAGTCTAAGACCCTGACTTCCAGAAGTCCACTAGGTTGTCCTGCATACCATCCTTGTGTTCTCCCCACCCACACTGCCCCACTCTTCTCCCTCTTCCCTTCCCCTCCTGCCCTACCTCCTCTTCCCCCCTCCCAGCTCCACCTTGCACCAGGGCGGGGTGGGGGGGGACAGGTGCGCACCTGGTGGTGATAAACAGACGAGGTTCTCGTGCCCACCACCAGGTAATAAATAGCTTTATCTGAAACCGCCTCCGCAATTTTCTGCTTCTTGCTCCGACCAGATGCCATGGCTGAACCACACAGGCCAGAGAGACCCCCAAACCCCGATCGCCTGTGGATCTGGGAGAAGAACGTGTACTTGGATGAGTTTCGTCGAAGCTGGCTGCCCATAGTCACCAAGGTACCAACCGCCTTGGGGCCAGCAGATGGGACAGCAGGGATGTGCCCTGTTTGGGCCTAGGAGTCCTGGTAGCTGGGGACTAAGGGACAGAGGGTCCCTTGTGCCTGAAACAGGGCTAGGGAGGCCCCCGATGGAAGTATTTCTGAGTCAGGCCTGGTGGGCCCCCGGAGGGTGGGAGTACCTGCAGGGCAGTACACAGGACCCCTCACACATGGCCTGGTGTGTGTGATTATCACTCAGGGTGCAACAGGCTTTCCTAAACCATAAAAATTGGAATATCTTTAAGGTAGCTAGCAGTGCCACGTCGAGTGTAAGATTTAAACTTTCGTTTTGTGTTGGAAGCCTCAGGATGGGTCTTAATGAACGTTGGTGTTTTCAAAAGAAATCTTGTCTAGAGGTACTTTCGGCAGAAATTATTGAAGAGCGTTTCAGTTGTAAAGCCAATGAAAGCTAGAAAAGCAAAAATAAGCTGCCGGGACTGTAATGCACTGTCAAATACTTGAGGGGGAACGGTCGCCTCTCTGCAAAGTTGGGGCTTGTGAACCTCGAAGACATGGGGTGCAGATGGTGGAACCACAATCTGGGCCCTTGAATTTACATTCTTGCTGTCACTTTACAAAATGTTAAGTTTACCTATATCTAGGGGTTTTTTTGTTTTGTTTTGTTTGTTTGTTTGTTTTTTTTTGTTTTTTTTTTTTTTTTTTTTTTTTTTTTTTTTTTTTTTTTTTTTTTTAGTTTTTACTTTTAAGTCAGATGTGGGAAGACAGCGTAGGTAGATATTCTTTTAAACATCAGGTTAACAACTACCTTTTCACCCAAACCATGAACCAGAGAGCACTTCCGTGCTGTTCCAGGTGTTGTCTGAACAGGAGCCTAGCAGCCTAGCAAGGCACTGAAGGAGCCAGGGCTCTTAACATGTAAGCATTCACTGATATTACTAAGGAACAAGAATAAAGCAGTTTATAACAGTGGTTAGGCTGCCAACTAATGAGTTGTGAATGCTGGTGGTCACCCACCTGGCAGTGTGATCGGAATCAACAGTTTCAATTTATCCCCTTGGCAGAACATTTAACAAAACTTCGTTTCACCTTGGAAAGTGACTCGTTAAACAAGTGTGAATGCTTAGTGCATATACCAAGCACTGAGGGTTTCAGGGAGTATGGTCGAATCCCTATTCTTCCATATTGGGAAGGCAGTGCAATGGGAATTGGGGTTGGCCAACACAGTAAGGAGGCTGGTGGCGAGTCCTGTGCGAGAAAGAAAGTTGAGATGGGGGGGGGGGGGTTGTGCTGTAGTACATGTGAACTCAGTTTGTAATGGCATGTCTTTTTTGTTTGTTTGTTTGTTTGTTTGTTTTTGGGTTTTGGTTTTTCAATACAGGGTTTCTCTGTGTAATAGCCCTGGCTGTCCTGAACCAAGCTGGCCTCAAACTTCACAGAGATCCACCTGCCTCTGCCTCCCAAATGCTGGGATCAAAGGCATGTGCCACCATGCCTGGCCTTGCAGGTCATATTCCTGAGTCATTTTGTTTGGAGTTTCACATTGCCTTTCCTCCCAGCCTCCCCCAACCCCCAGCAGTACTGATGAACAAACCCAGGGCTCTGTGCATAATAGACAAGAACTCTATTGCAGAGCTACAACCCAGCCCTTTGTTTACACTTCTTTCAATTTTGAAACTTGGTCTTGTTACTTAGGTTGACCTTAAGCCTCCTTTATAGCCCAGGTAGGCCTTGAACTTACAACCCTTCTGCCTTTGCTTAATGAGTAGTGCATTGCAGGCCTGTGTCACTTGGCCCCACCTGGTCTTAATGGAGGTATCTTGTAGATTTTAATTGTACGGGCTTTTTTGTTTTGTGTGTTTGGGCAGTGATGTGTGTGTGTGTGTGTGTGTGTGTGTGTTTCCATCCCAAATTGGTGGGTTAAACTCATTTTCAAGAAGCTGGTGAGATGGTTGAAAAGGTAAAGGTTCTTGCCACCAAACCCGATGGACCCGAGTTTGATTCCCAGGACCCACATGATGGATGAGAGCTGATTCTGCAAGCTGTAGCACATTAGTGCCTGTGTGGTGTTCACCCTAATTTCAGCACTTGGGAGGCAGACACAGGTGCATTTCTGTAAGTCTGAGGCCAGCTTGGTCTATAAAGCAACTTCCAGGCCAGGAGGAATGATATGGTGAGAATCTGCTCCAAAACAACAAATTTTAACTCGTGTCAGTTAATAAAACTTGATGGTTGATCGCTACTCTAACATTGTTTTATGTAATATATTTGTTTTTTTATATATACATTTCAACATAGTGCCTAAAAGGGAGGGAGCTCTTTGTAGATTTGGGGAGGCTTGCTGTAGACAGTAGGAACCACAGACATTAAACAAGGCATGGTGGCTAGAAGGAAGACTGGGGTGAACAGGACAGCGGGAGAAGAGGGAAGCAGAGACACTCTTGTTTAGGCTTTGTGGGTTTCTTTGGGCCCTGGACTCACTCTGTGCATGAGGGGAAGGCAGCATCAGGAGGCCAGCAGGTAGACATGAATTTCATATCCCTGCCCCACCCTGTCATCTAAAGACATTGAGGAGATAGTTGCTATAGCCCAGATGAGCCATGCTAGTAGTGAAAAAATGCTACCTGTCACCAGATTCAAAGTGTTAGGAATGAGGGTGGAGGCCTCAAGAAAATGACCACACAATCCAAAGCATTCCAGCAAGACATAAAGATGTAATTCTGCAGGCTCCATAGATGTGCCAGAGGGGGCCTGTGTCTCACACTGATTGGTCAAAGAGTTCAGCCTCACATTTTTACATTATTGAATAACTTAGAGCTGTGCAATTGGTAAGCGAAGTGCAACTTTGAAAACGGAACACAACTTTGAGTGCATAAGATATTAAAAAATGTGCTGACCGAAAGAGGGATTTTTGCCCGATGGCATCATGCCAACCTCTTTAGAGATGGCGTTTCCTTTGTCTCATTCAACCCTCTGATAGAAAAGACGAGCATTTCATTTACGGTTCCCACAGGTTGGTTCATGGATAAACGCCTCCCTTGAAAGATGACAGTGAACAAAATCAGAGTCAAATCCCTGGCAGGGCTGGGGTTAGGCTACTAAAGTGCTTGCCTTGCCAGTACAAGGTCTCAACTTGGATCCCCAGAATTCAGGCTGAGAAACCCACTGTGGTGGACATCGCTAGTGATCTCGGCACTGGAGAAGCAGATACACTAAGATCTCTGAAGCTCACTGACCCACCAATATAGCCAATTTATTTTTCCTGGTTGGTTTTGTTTTAGGGGGGGAATGTTATTGCTGAGGTTGAGGTTTTGGTTTTTGGTGAGCTCCAGGCCGCTAAGGGGCATCTCGAATAAGTAAATAAAAGAAAAAGTGTCTAAGAAATGATACCTGAGGTTGACCTCTCTGCTTCAGAAGAATGACACCCCCCCCCCAACACACACAAGCACACACACACACACGGGACTAAGCTGGAGGACTAGATGGCTTTCCCTACCAACAGGAGGATCTACAGGACAAAGAGCCCCCTGAAGGATGGTTAGATGCTAGCCCAGCCAGTGTCCCTAAGACTGTGTACAGCCCGTGGAGCTGCTACCAGGGACAGTGTCTGTGCTTAGTCTGTTGGGTCAGCCCCAGGCTGCCGAGTGACAGGATGGACACTGCTTGTTGTACCTGGAGGAGCCTGGCAGCGGTAAGCTGGAGGTGTGAAGATGTGTTCTGTTCTTCCTCTGCAGAGTGATGACAAAGTCCAGGTGATCTTTCGCCAGGAAGATGTCCCCTTGGGGCGTGGTATGACCCCCTCACAGCTGAAGCCATATGAGCTGCCTTTAATGTGGCAACTATACCCAGGGGAGCGGTACCGAAGCAGTGACTCCAGGTTCTGGAAAATAGTGTACCATGTCAAGGCAAGCACAGTTCACCCTGGGGACTGAGCTGGTAACCTCTAGTAGTCCTGGGCTTTGGTCCTGGCATGGGCTAGCTCTGTAGTCCATCCTAGCACCAGAAGCTAAGCTGGTTGAGGAGAACTAACTGCAGATTTGTTGAAAGGAAGAGAAAGGAAGGGGGAGAGAGAGGGAGAAAGGAAGGGAAAGAAAGGGAGGGAGAGAAACTGGTTAGAGAGATAGAAAGGACCATCCTCTGAGGTCTTAGCCAAACCCCTTGGCACACGGAGCCCTCTGGGGAAGTCACTGACTGAGACCAGTAGAGACAGCTAGTCAACCCGACTCAGGTTTGAGTGCAGTCCCAAGCTAAAGAAAGCTGAGCCACAAGGACAGGGGAATTTTCAGGGCTGGTCTGATCACTCCCTTGTCTCTCTCCTTCCCCACCCTCAGTCCAAAGGTGTGGAGGACATGTTACTTGAAAAGATGGACTCCGACGACGATGAATAATCTGTGTCACAGTGAGGTGAGCACACTGGAACTCCATCAGGAGGAAGGCATACCCTTCTCCATGAAAGTCATGCCAGCTCCTCCCAGCAGCCTCTCCTCAATGCTCAGGGTGAGACAGGCTTTCCACAGATGTCCATGTCTCCCCTTTACCACCTTAGGAGCTGCAGCTACAACTGTCTTTACAGGGCCAAACAGGTAACCGTTGTTCCTGATTGGTTGTCTATTAAGAGACAACTTCGGGCCATCCCATCAGCTCAGCTGGGCATCCACAGATGTTATGTTGAAGCAGGTTTCTCCATCTTTTCTTACCTGCTCCCCTCACTGTGTGGGTGGTTTGTCCCAAGGGCTCCATGCCCTATGCTGCATGAGCTATGAGGCTCAGCATCAGGAGCCAACTGACTCCACCCCCACCCAGCAGCCCACTGCCTGCTCCTAGTCAGTGCCTCTGACCCTTCCTTCTCATCTCTCCCCAGGTCCTACAGCTCCTGTCTCCCTCACCTACCCTGGTTCCGCAGGGGAGATGTTCGTACTTGTATTGCCTTTGTTTGCTAGTCAGGCTCTTTTTCATCCACACTGGACTCCAGGAAGAAAAAGCTGGACAGAGGCTGCCCCGTCCCTTGATGCTGTAGCCTGTTCAGCTGCCTTCTTTGGCCCTCAGTTCTGCTGCCTCCCTGGCTAGTGGCCCCAGAGAAGATCCCAGTTCAAACGTCTCCTCTCCATACCATACCACCTCTGCGGTATCTGTGCCTCTGATGTTCTCAGCTGATTTCTCAGTCTTTCCCTTTTGTCCCTCAGGGCAACTAGTGTCTGGCTTTTGAACTTGCCCAGTCCCTCATTGGTTCCTCAGCTAGACATGCACCATGAGTGACCAGGACTAGTCATTTGAATCTGGCCAGGCCTTGGATCAGCCATGTCTCAAGATGCTGAGCCTGTATCCATTTGCCCTGTGAACCCCCATGTACTCAACAAACTTAGGCTTGGCTGCAAAGCAGTATAAGGCCTGACAGCTCCAGGCCCATCATCAGATCCCAGGAGCTTGCAGCCAGGAATAATGCAAACCTGGGGCCTACTTCCCTCACTAGAGCAGGAGGTCAGGCAATGGAGCTGGTTCAGATAAGCCCTCAGATCGCCCATTTGTGGGCTCCCCGCTTCAAAGGTACCCATATACCTGGGTGCTGCTGTTTTTAATGTAAACATTTTATGTTGCTAATTAAATATGTTTCTCACCTAACTTGTGCCAAATCAGCTTCCATCTTGAGCTAGATGTTAATAAGGGAGAAGCCAGGGTCACCTGGAGTCTCCCAGTAAGGATGCTAAAAGGGAATGTCTGGGGATTTCATGTGTTTCTACTTTAGAGGTAAAGGTGGACTTAGAAAGTTTTACATAGCTCAGTTCTCAAACCCCAGTGCTCTTGAACTTATGATTGAGAACCATTAGAGACAGCAACCTCCGAGCATCCTTGTTGGCCAGTCCTGGTACCTGCCCCCTTGATATGGTCCTGGCTTCTCAAACCCTGACGACCTTCAGGTCCGGATGCTCTGCTGCCTCCTGGAGGGTGCCAAGTCTGTCATCGCACACGTGCCTTCTAGTCTCAGTGCCAGCAAGTGGTGAGCTCACATGAAACTTTGCCCACCAGTCCATCACTCCAGCCCTAACCAAACACCCTGCAGCCACAGCCTAGTCCGCCTGTGCCCTGTCCCCTGTTTGCCCTCATGTTCCTTATGAGAAGGGGCTCAGAATACAAGGGATGTCTTACTGAGAAAAGGAGCCAGAAAGGGCCTAGGGGCCACCCTGCTTTCTTCCTATCTCTGTATGTATGCAGTCTACAGAGGCTTTATGAGAGTGGGTTACAGGCTGTGGTCCAGGAGCAGAGCAGGAGAGACCTATAGACGCCTGTCATCAGAATCCCTGAAAGAACAGTCATTCGCAGGAGTCTTTGCTGTGACACACATCTGACCACCATGAATTGTGCCTGGTGCCGTGGTTATAGCAGCCAGCAAAGCAAGGGCTGTGAACATACAGATTCTGCTCTGAGAGACGATAAACTTAGCAATACAAAACCCCAGAAGAAAGCAGAGCAGGGTGAGGTATGAGCGAGTGATTCTTGCCTGAAGGTGGCCTTGTGGACATGTCTGTGGGGCACACCCACCTGCGCATGTACGCTTGAGTGAATGTGGAAAGGCCAGAGCGCAACCTCAGTGTCTTCCCCTGTTGCTTTCCACCTTACTTTTTGAGACAAGATCTCGTGCTGACCCCGGGGCTCACTGATTGCCTACAGTAGTTGGCCAGCATGTCCCAAGAGAAGGTAGGCAAGCACAGAGACACCTGGTGACACAAGGTACCCTTAGCTGTCCCTTTCTTGGTAGGGCAGCACCCAGAGACTCCACACCTGGGAGTGATTTGTGGCCCAGAACTTCTGGCATGAAGAATGATTAGGCCTAAGACACAAGCACAGTGAGAGGCAAGTCTGTCCCTGAAGTGACCTGTTAGTGTGGGGGGAGAGGGGGGTGAAGGTGAGGACTGCTTACCATCTCATGAATATGCATGGTGGGGTGTACATATGCTTAAAATTCTGTATCTCTCGCACACACACATCTAGAATGCATTTTCTGGAGCCCATTCCCACTCTGTAGCATGTTCCCTCTACTTTTTCACTACTGTGTCTTGTCCAGTTTTACACACAAAGAACCTTAGCCATCACTTCATGGGTTGCCCTGGGACTCATGGCACAGGGATCATCTTGTCTCTGGCCCTTCACAGTACGGGGATTACACATGTGCTCTACAGAGCCCAGCTTTTAATGGGATGCTGAAGATCTGATCTCGGGTCCTAGTGTTTGCACAGCAAGGACATTACTATCTAATCCATCTCCCCAGCCCCAAACTCATTGTGATAAAAAGCACCTGATATGAAATCTACCCTTAGTACACTTCTAGGTATATGGTGCAGTTTTGTTAATTTTATAAGCACTGTTTTACAGCAGGTTTTAAGACTCTCTTCCTGGTGTGCCTTTCAAATGGAAGCTTTCTGTCTCCCGCTCTCCACAGCCCCCGGCCACCACCACTTCATTTTCTGCTCCTATGATTTGCATAGCTTTAGGTATCTTCTGTAAATAGAAGCATTCAGGATTCATCCTGTTGTGACTGGCTTGTTTCATTTAGTGTGATGTCCTTAGGGTTCTGGCCTCCAATCACACCTTCTGTACATATGCCACAATTTTTTAAAAAGTGATTACAGTGTGCTAATTGCACAGTTACCATAGAGCATCTTCCTTAAGCCTTACAAAGAAATGAGAAATTTGCAAGAGGTTTTCTGTTCGGGTGGGACTCTTGCGAAGGGCCGTTTAGACCATACCACCATGGAGTCACTCATGGTAAAGTGGGTAACTGCACCTAAGTGGTTCTCAGTCTTCCAAGCGAATAGCCAAATCCTCACCCAGACATGATAAGAAAGTCCCTCTGGGAGGAGTCAAGGAAACTGCCAATCTACTGTTTCTGATTCATCAGCCTTTTCACGACCATAAATGCTAATTGGCTCCTCTTAAGAACCAAGGACTTACTGCTTCTAGAATTGCCAAAGCCAACTGCAGTCTTTAACTTTGTCCTGGTTTTGTTTTGCAGTAGAAGTACTCTCCTTACCCCTGCTTTCCTGATGAGAGGCAGACCCAGAGACCAGCAGTTACTTGCCCCGAGTCACTGGGGGTCTGGCCTGGGTGTGGCTGGAATATGCCTTTCTGGCTACCAGTGTTCACTTGCTGGGGTCTGCCTTGGGTTAAGAACCAGGCAGGAAGGCAGAGCATTTGCTGCATGCCAGAAGAGCGAGCCGTAAAGGAAACGGGCAGTGATCACAGTGATCAGGACCCTGTGATGGTCTCTCTGAGGCAGTAAAATCCCTATAACAAGGGTAAGATGGGATGTCCTGCAGCCAAGGGTCAGCCAGTATGCCTCTCGGACATGGAGCCTGGCGTGGGTGAATAGAAGTGCCACCAGTCAGAACAAAGATTGATGCTAAGAGCCTCCGGAAGCCAGGAAGTAATGGGGTCTGGATGAACTCCAGCTGCTATGTGGAGAATAGACCCTAAGGGGACAAAAATAAAAGAAGAGAAACTAATTAAAGTTAAGAAGCCTAGGTCAGGAATTGGCAAGAATTTTTCTATAAAGGGCCAGATAATAAGTATTTGGGGCCTTAAGGGCCATAAAGTCTCTGTTGTAGCCATTCAATTCTGCCATTATTGTAACAGCCATAAATAAAACATAAATGCTAAGTGTGGGTGTGTTCAATAAAACTTTATAAAAACAATATTCTGACCATATTTGACTCATATGCTATAGACTTTGACTCCTAGTGTAGGTATTACACACTAGGTACAGAATTACTGGCAGTGAAAATACTCAGGTAAACAAGTGAAGCTTTTAGGGTCAGCGTGTAAGCCCTGACACTCTCTTAAGCCACACACCACCACTCTTCCTCAATAGACCAATTAAATAACTAATGAAGAGCAGAAAAAGGAAATCCAACACATGCACAGTTGAGAGGGGGAGCAAAGAATTCCAGTGACACCCTAAATCCACCCAGGAGTCCTAACGTGGGATTTAGAATTCTGCAGAGGGGCAGAGGCGAGCACAGCTACACAGTCTCCACTGAGGCATGCAAGGTGGTCTGACAAGTGGCTGGACACCTGTGAAATCTCCCTGGAGACAAGTCCCCCTTCTAGGTGAACAGGAGAAACCAGCATTGCTCCCCTCTGGTGATGACTTCTCCTTCCTCCTCCTTTTCTTCCTCTTCTTCTTTTCCTCCTCCTTTTCTCTTGTTCTTCCTCCTTTTCCTTCTTTCCTCCTCCTCCTCCTCCTGTTTATGTTGCTTTTTAAGACGGGCATCTCTGTAGTCCTGACTGCTGTACCTTACTATGTAAACCAGACTGTCCTTGGACTCACAGAGATGCCTCTGCCTCCCTAGTGCTGGGATTAAAGGCATGCCTTTATTCCAGGTCTTCTCCTCAG